AACAGCAGGGAATAATGGTCTTTAAGGATTATCTGTAAAATATAAATAAATCTACATATAATCTTCATCACATCAAAACACTTCCACAATAAACAAAGGAATATCAACCTTATTATCAATCAGGATGATGAATGATATGTCATAATCACAGGAAATCTCACAAAAAAGTAAATTACTACAGTAATTTAAAAAAATGCATACATGCAGTTGAACCTCATTGATACTGTAATAATAAGTCAAACCTCCAAGAAGTACTTTTTGTCAAGTCCCCTGTCTCAATTCCCTTAGAAACCGTGCAATAAAAATCTTTCTAACTCAAAGACTTTTCCTCTCCAACCTCTGTAACTTGAGTTTTCTGGGGCCTTTTAGTTATATTTTGTTGACACAGAAAAGAAAAATGAATAAAACCTATGTGCAGCAAAGTTTGGGTATTTTTGCAAAATTTTTTGCCACACTGAGCAATAAAAATTAAAAATCCTACTATTGTATCAAGGGCTAAGTCAGGAAAAAATCCAATATATTTTAATCATCCTGCGGAAAATTTTGCATGAAAAAAATCCCTCACTGAGTGCCATTTTTTCCTGCAATTGTGGCATAGGATTAACAAGGAATATTCCTGAAAACAAGAGAAAATTTGACTCCCAGATTTTTCCTGACTTAGGCCATCTCAACCTGCTGGGAGGATTTCAGTGACTTATAATTGCTGGATCAAACAGAAATGCACAGCCCCCAAAAATATCCCAACTCCATTGCACAATGGAAAGGAACCCACCAGCACCATCCAAGGGTTGAACAATCAAGTTTACCTGATTTTAAGGGAAGTGAAAGATTAATTAATGAGCAAATGAATCCTTGCATCCAAGTTCAGCAGATCCTGTCAACTGATTTAGTATGAGAAGAAATTTAATGCCCAGAATATCACCATCCATTTACAATGTCCTGCAGTCAGAGCCGGATTAAACCACATTTTGGCCTGATGCTGGGCAAAAACTGGGCCTATAATATTTCCTTGTAAAAAGGAAATGTGAATTTTTCATCACACAATTAAAAAATATAATTTGTGATGAACAAAGGATATCTGAGGCTAGAATTTAACCAAATATAGATAAGGTCAAATTCCATCACAATGAATCTTGTAACAATACATTTTTCTTATCAATTTTTTGTGGTCCTGGCAGTTTCTCAATAGGCACCATGTTATAGAAATCTCATTTTTCTTAACTCACTTTAGACTGTCATCTCATTATGATAAAAACTCCTGATTTTGTGCATATAGGCTGTATAGCAAGTATTTTGTAAATTATAGAAGGAACGAAAAAAAATTGAAAGGTCCAATTTCTTGAAGGACTAAAGATTTTTGTTGAGAAGGCTAGGTGTTCAAAAAATGCAGAACATGGCATAGATCTTGGAAATTCTTTGACTACATTTTAAATTGTAGGCCTTTCTATCAAGTAAACAGTATACAGTTCTAGAAGATATGATCCTCTATTTGAATGAACAGACAGGTGAGCAAATAAGTTGACTTAGAAGGAAGTAAAGAATTTATACTAGTACAAAGGCAGGTTTCATGAAATGCAATAACTATTTCTTTCAGAACTTTTCTCTGAATTTTGTCAAAATGCTTACAATTTGTAACAGGTCGTGATTTAGCTGTTTCAAATGCACAGTACTCTGAAACTATGGCCCCTTTTTCAATGAAGTTGAGTCTGAAATATTTCAAAACCAATAACCAAAAAACTCCAAAATTATACTCCATATATATATGCTTCAACATGAAACTCAGTGCATTTGAGAGTTAATTTGATGTGTCTGGTTAAGGATGGGCACAATAATATCATTTGTTCCAATCATGACACAAAAGATTTACATAATCAAACAAATGGATGATGATTAAGTATGTGCCTGTGTGAAACATAAATTTTTCATCATAATTTTGAGTGTATCTTGGATGGCAGCATGTAAAAATTTCATCCACATATTCCTTTCATTCAAAAATGCAGCAAATTTTAACTCTTGTGTGGCTAACTTGGGATATAAAAAAAATTGTGTGCCCAGAAGCACTTTAAATGAAACATTGCATTTCTGAATGAACAAGGGAAAAGTATAATATTTTATCTAATCCAGCCAACATTTTTGAGAAAGATTCAGAAATCTTCTGAAGTTTCTCAGTGGTATCATTAAAAAAACTTGCAGTGTCTACATTAGAATGCAGTGAGAGGCTCCATAAAGAAAACCAAAAGATATAACATTCAGTAACTTATAAATATGTCAATCACCCCCAAAATGTTTATACAATTCAATTTAAACCT